AACGATCCTGAGGAATTGAGAAAACTGGGGAATGACAGCTACAAGCATGGGCATTTTGTGGAGGCTTTGAATTTTTATGAGAAAGCAATTTCTATTTCGCCGGCAAATGCTGCCTATCATTTCAATCGTGCGGCGGCATTGACGGGTTTGAGGCGGTTGTTTGAGGCAGTTAGAGCATATGAGGAGGCAATTAGGCTCGAGCCGGGGTATGTGAAGGCACACCACCGGTTGGGATCTTTGTTTCTTAGGTGAGCTTTTGTCGATAAAGTTTGAAACTAGATTGGATAGCCTATCTTGTTGACTTGTTCCGTATGCTCATCATTGTAGAATAGTTTTTGGAATTTTGTGGACATGTATTTAAATGCTGGATTCTGTTTTTTGTGTGATGGAAGTGTTTTATGTGTTAGATCCTAACAATTGATTGTCTCGTGTTGTGAGTTTGTTTTGAGTGGGCTTAGAAATTAGTGCAGGCATTGGTCTACCATTGTGTTGAGTGTTCTGAATTAAGTGTTCGCCTCGGACCGTTCTTATTAATGCCTCATCTATTCTAGGCCACGTGCAGCGCAGAGGCAATGGTTTTTTGCCAAGGCATCCAAAACAGCTAATTAGAATTCCGTTTTATTGACATTTCTGACTGTTTCTTATCTCAATGATAGATATTAGTTTCGGCCATGTACTTTAGTGTGAATTCATTACAGCTTGCAGGTTTGCTACATTTATGGAAATGCATTTATCTAAATTGGATCCATTTCCTTTCATGTCCTAGATTTTTTTACTTTCATGTTGCTCAGTATTTATTATGTTACGAATCTAATTCCTCTAAGGATGACAGTTTAGGACTGGTCGAAAATGCGAGGAAGCACATTTGTTTTTCAGGGCACCAACCAGATCCTGTATATTTCCAAAAGTTGCAGTCAGTGGAAAAGCATCTGAGCAGGTGTGCTGATGCCCGTAGAGTAGGTGACTGGAGAAGTACTTTGAGGGAAATCGATGCCGCCATTGCCTCTGGAGCCGATGCTTCTCCTCAGGTCCAGTCTTCATAGCGCATTTGAAAAATTACCTTTCACCCCCTTACTAATATTACAATTGAGAAGTTCATGTCCCTCTTTTATGCCTTTCATGGCATGTGTTAGTGATGATAGAGAATGAGATGAGTGAGGACCCAAGTTAGGAAAATGCACGGGTTTTCATCAGAGTGCATGAAACCTGTTACTGTACTCCTACAATAAGAAACTAATATGAACCGACTTGTAATTTGAAACTATGTGTGGATGTTGTGGTAATTAGGCTATAACCGTGTGATTAGACTTTTCGCAACTAACCCATTCCCTAATTTAGAAAAATCAAAGGGAAACTAACTGAATTTAATTTACAGCTGTGCGCTTGCAGGGCAGAAGCTCTCTTGAAGCTTCACCAATTGGATGATGCTTTCTCGGCCATGTCGAATATCCCTAAATTTGAACCATCCACAACTCATCCTCCCCAGAGGATTTTCGGAATGCCTTTTGGAGCGTACATATTATATGTAAGAACTCAAGTAGAATTATCCAAGGGGAGGTGAGCTAAGCTTGAGTTACATTCGACATCTTTTGAGATAAAGCAAGGTTGAAAAAAGTTGTGATGCGATTTTAATGAGTAATTTTGCAGGTTTGAAAGTGCTCTATCAGCCGCAGAGAAAGCTAAAGAGATGGACCCACACAATGTTGAGATCTCAAACTTACTCAACAATGTGAGGTTGGTAAGCCGAGCTCGTGCCCGTGGGAATGACTTATTCAGATCAGAAAGGTTCACTGAGGCTTGCTTGGCATATGGGGAAGGTCTCAGGCTCGATCCCTCGAACTCTGTTCTGTACTGCAATAGAGCTGCTTGTTGGTATAAGCTTGGGAAGTTGGAAAAATCATTGGATGATTGCAATCAAGCTCTTCAGATTCAGCCTCGTTACACTAAAGCTCTGCTTCGAAGGGCTTTGTCTAACAGCAAGGTGAGAATTTAGACATCTCATTGATTGAGCTGTAATTCTCAACGCTTCTAAAATCGCTCCAACTACTCTGAAATGAACGGAAATTATTTTTGAATAAGAAATGAAAGTTGTGTGTTTAATTGCAATTGTTTAAAGGATGAGCAACCTTTTAGAAATGTTATCATTTACACGTCATTATTCATGTGTGAATTAGATGCTGACGAGTTTATGGTCTGCATGTCAAATCCATTACAGCTCGAACGGTGGAGTGAAGCTGTGAGGGATTATGAGGTTTTGAGAAGGGAACTCCCGAATGACAATGAGGTCGCCGAGTCTCTATTTCACGCGCAAGTTGCACTTAGGAAATCACGTGGAGAGGAGGTGTACAACATGAAATTTGGTGGGGAAGTTGAGTCGGTTTCTGGTCCTGAGCAATTCCGCGCTGCAATTCTATCATCCGGTGAGGGTGTTTCCATTTTTTTCCTTTAATCTTTTCTGTTGGCCTAAGCATTGTTTTAAGCGTTCGAATTGTAAAAAAATGCAGGAGCATCTCTGGTTTTTTTCAAGACAGGTTCCAACGCACAGTGCATTCAAATTTCACCCTTCTTGGATGCATTATGCATCCGATATCCATCAGTTAATTTTCTGAAGGTGAGTGCGTTACCATCTAAAATTTTGATTTTGTAAGTTTGCCATTATTTGTTTCTAGGGAATAATTATAAAGAGGACTCGAAGTTTGGGGAAGTTACAAGAACCCTGAGGTTTCTAATTGGTCCTGTCTTGCAATTTTTGCCTTTAAGCAACATACATTTCATGAAACCCTCTAATGTTTATGGAAATACTGTAGTTTCCCACAATCCACCCAGATTTCATGTTTTTCCTTTTCCCTTTTTTTCTTATATTCCATTTCAAAGCATATTTAAACATCTCTCTCTCTCTCTCTCTCTCTCTCTCTCTCTCTCTCTCTCTCTCTCTCTCTCTCTCTCTCTCTCTCTCTCTCATTAGATGAAACCTTAGTTTTTATTGTACCTGTTCCTTAATCTAAGTAATGATCTCAACCGTGTGTGCATGAATATAATATCTTTAACTACAGGTAAATATAGAAGAGAGCCAGGCAATTGCAAATGCGGAGAATGTCAAAATAGTGCCGACATTCAAGATTTACAGAAAGGGCATCCGAGTCAAGGAAATGGTATGCCCGAGTCCCGAAGTTCTGGAGTCATCTGTGAGGCATTACAGTATATGAAGTCTTGGTTGGCCGGTCCTTGTTTCTGCATTCCAATTATGCACATCCGCTTTCAGACCAATTGAGAGAGATTACTTAATAATTCGAAGCCACACCAGTCAAGTGCTACTGGAATTTAAAGACATAGCTTAGTTCCCTTTTGCCTGTTTTTCCATTTTTTTTTTTCATTTTTATTCATTCATTCATCGGATTCCATCTTGCACCTATCCCTTCATACTTGACATCCAAAACCTTTTGGGAACATATCATCTTTTACCTTTCTTGGTCATTCAAGCGAAGATTGTTTGATGAAAGTATGTGAAAAACTAGTTTCTGTTCGATCTTGCTGAAACTTCGTGACGGAAAGGGAGAGGGAAGGAAACTGATTTCTTACGGCTGTTTGGTGGTTTTTAGACGAGGTGCTGTTGTACATGCACATGCTAAGATATGCGTGTATGCACGATATTGAAAGCTCGTTGAGAAAGGAAATGGACACGGCCGGTGGATATATGTTGGGTTAAAGAAGGAAGATGAACATGATGCTATATTGATATTGAATTTTTCTTTTTTCCTTTTGTTTTCCTCCACCATTCAATTTGAAATAAACCAAAAAATATGTTGTTTAGAGTTTTCCATTTTCCTCCATCTCTCATGTAATCGTCCTTTGCAGACAGTTAAACATTTTCTCTATTAGACCATCTGTCTTCATATAAGATCTATTCTTCATTACTTGGTGTATTGGGTTTTACAATTCTTAAATATTTCTTATGGTGATTGTGATAATTAAGTAATGGTGTTTGTCAACTAAAGTGCCCAAAATAGACCCACAAACAAAAGTAGGTTATACCAAAGTAGTAAAAATGCCTATAATTTAAGTGCTTACAAAAGGTTTGTGGTTCACTTTTTTTAGAGTTGTAAGATTACAAATGATACCTGTGGCTGTGGTTTACTTTTTAGGCAATATTACATAAATAAATGATGCTGGTAATTAATAAATTGTATTTAAGAAAAAGATGGCCTTACCGTGTTGAAGCAGTAAACCGAGTCAAAGCCCTAAGACAGAGGGTTTTATTTATACTGGCCAAATATCAATTGGAAGCATTAAATGCGTGCCAATCCCCATATAATCAGGAGAGCCATTGATATCGCCTTACTTAGTGCTATTAAATTAAATGAGTCTAGTTTAACTTGACCTGTGCTCGATGCCTTAACAAGCCGAACTCAACTCATTTAAAGTTTGTTATGGTTAACTGGTCGGCTCGGCTCGATAGTCAAGATCGAAAAGGATAATTTTTATATAATTTTTTCATAGTTCAACTTGTTAAAGTTTGAAATTGCTTCGTTAAGTCTCGAACTCGACTTGTTAATAGTGATAAATGAGCCGAGCACGAACATCAAGCTCGACTCGTCTCGTTTACAAGCTTAATCCTACTTATGTTACCTTCCGTCAAGCGTAAGTGTACATTTGGTCAACCTCTTGAGAGCACTATTTTATACATTAACAAATTGCACCATTAGGCTTGTTCATAAGGCGTTTTGTGTGTGTGTGTGTTTCCTAAGAATATTAGCTATAAAATAATTTACGTAAATAAATTAACTTCTTATCTTTGAGGCAAAAAATGTTGCTCTACAACACTTCTGAAATCCACTCATTATGAAAAGCTCCCATTTGTAGATCTTTTAGCATTGTGATCTAAGAAGCTATTTAAAACTCTGTTAGACCATACAACTCAAGTAGAGAATATGTCCATCTACAATTCAATACTCTACTTAAGGCCCAAATCTAATATCTGTTCAAGTAACAATTTCAATTCTCTGATTAAGGCCCACATCTAATAACTTGAATTAAATTCTAAAAAGGTTTCACATAGACAAGAAAGGAACTGAAAAAAATATGCATAACCAAAGCATTGCAAACTGAATTGCTAATTTCAAATGTAACACAAGAGTACAATAAACTTCCAGATAATAAGACATAGCATAACAGAACTCACTGACTTTATATCATCTGCACATTTTTTTAATGACGTTCTAATAACGAGAACAATTTGAAACTAAGGGAGTCATTCTTCCAAATTTTCCCATGTTTTACTCGACGGACGATAGGATACAACTTTACTTATTAGAGAAAGAAACCCAAGTTCCATGTTATTCAAGCACCACTTGCATATAAACGCGTCCATTCTTTAGCTGCAGGATTGACACCAAGACTCCATGAATTAGTACCACCACATTAAGGGCAAACATATAATTGCTAAGCGAAAGTGTGTGGATGTGTTGGATTGGGGGGATGGAGTGGGTTTAGGGCTTAGAATTGAAAAATAAAGCACACACCTGTTTCGACAGCTTCAGACTCATTTGATTTCCAATGCTTGGCAATGTTTTCAGAGAGTGGGTCATCCGGATTTGGAGCACTCAAAAGGGCTTGTATGCTAAAACAAGCAGTAGTATTATAAAAAAAAAAGTCATAATCAAAGACTGCAAGAAGAAGCATTCATTGAACTTGCCATAAGAGAAAAACTTTAATCATTTTGAGTCAGAGTTACCTCAAAAGTACAGTTCTGATCTGAAGGGCGGGACTCCATTTGTCCTTGAGAATATCTAAGCATATCCTTCCAAGCTGCAATTCATTTTTATTCAGTATAGATGCGCGACTGGTAGATGAAAGCAAGGTATCAAAACTAGGGATAGCTTACCTTATCAATGTTAGGGTGGTAGATTTTTGTAAGGAAGCGAACCTGTCAGGAAGCGGATTGAAAACAGTTAGGCATGCTTTTTTTATATACAGAAACACAGTTTTTACAACAGAAAAATATTTAAGTTTCTCAATGTATAACTCCTACTTCAAGGCAATGCTACTTTCAGTTCACTGGCTTAAAATATCGTCATGAAATCCAAAACAGGTCCTTGTAGGGGGCTGCCATATCACACACTTATTTAAGCAACAGAGCAAACATGAAGGTTCACCAGAAAATATCTAGCTAGCAGGAACAAATATATTAAAAAATTACCCAAAATGTCAACTACAAGAATAATAGTATCAAAACATGGCACAAAGAATATTATCATAATCCTGAAATGTCGGTACCATATTTACTGGAGATAAATCAGAAACAATATAATACGTCTCGTCTTTCCCAGGACAACATTGAGGGGTATTGGTTAATAACATTCAGATGACTGATAGAAAAGGCACAAAGTCACAGTTGAGGTCACTAACACAATAAAAGCAATACTTCCGAGGTGCATGTAACAAATAATTGTTGGAATTTTGTACTTTGAGTGTTCTTATGTATGTTGCTACAGAAATCCATAATATCAAATTAGTTACCTTCGGGGCAGCCATGGGGTACTCTTCAGGTAAAAACAGCTCCAGCTTAAAGACCCCACCTGTAAGTAAGGCCAACCAGATAAAACAGGTCTAAATTGCATCACTTGCCAGTAAGGCAGCAAAAGGGGCGGGGCGGAGGAAGAGCATATCATCTATGTATGCTGGCACTTCCAATTCCATGCCACCATAAAACGTTAACAAAAAGGGTCGACGAACTTTCTTATTTACTTCTTTTTTCATAAAAGAAAGGGTCTACAATTTCTAAAGTACACTTTTATCTACTATGTTCATGTGGGATCCAACACACTGAAAGAAATGGATGAAAATGATTGAGCTTGACTTCTAGTTATGAAATTTATTCATGATCCGTAAAGACACATGTGAAAACGGTATGGCACAAGCGACTCCTCAAAAGTTCAATATATTCTAGAAATTGATTGTTACCGATAGTTGTAAACTTAGACTGTAGTACCATACGCCTAGCCACCGGCACAAATCAATATTTAACAACATAAAACATTAAAACAATGTGAACTCAAACTGCATCTAAAAGTTATGAGAAGAAAAGAAGATTGTATAGCAATTTATTTGAACTTCACACATCAGAAATTGGAATAACATGGTAGACCTGTACCTCAATCTAATAGCAAAATTTTCCGCTACTCCGTGATTCTAATACTGGATGTTTTGAAGATAGAAATAATATAAGAACCAAAGCCTCAAATGCCCAAACTATACGAATCTCAACCATTATATGTAGAGTAACTCTGACCCCATACCCAATTCTACAAAAATTTCTAATACCAATTAGACTCTAAACCAACTGGAAATATACATAAAGTATCCTGAAACAACATAAATGATAGTTCAATAGTCAACACAAGAAAGATATGGTTAACAATGACAAGTGACAAAATATCATAAGTTCACAAAATATCGGGGGAAGACCGGCAGAAGCAGATATTACTATAATGACATTTACTGCAGTCAGAAAGGAACTGTGAGCTCTGTTTACCTTCATAAGGAGACTGTGTGGGACCAAGAATCATGACATTGAAATACCGCATATTGTCTTCAGATGGAGATGCACTTATTCCTGGAGCTGCACTCATACACAAAAAATGGCTCAATCACATCGATCTCAAAAAATTATCACCATAATTCAATTATTAGTTCCAGTGGTGAATCCCCAGTCTAATCTAAGTAACAAACAAATAGATAAATGAGTAAACATTTGACCCAACAAGCTTCATTTGCAACAAGAACATTACTGAACTACGCCATACGAAAAATGAAAAAAAAAAAAAAAAAAAAAACAGCGAAATCCAGAAATTACGAATTCATTTGTAATCCTTCAATCATCAAATCATTTTGGGGGGGCGTAGAAATCCAAGAACTTACCTGGTTCGCTAAGAAGACGCTGAGTCTCCTGCATAACCAATAAAGGAATACATTAACAATCCAATCAGTACAATCGCAGCTGAAGTAATCAAAAGAAACCGATCCAGACAAAAAAAATCTTCAAAATTGAGGGTTTTAAAGACGAAGCAAAAGAGAGACGGAGATTGCAAATGAAAGATCGGGATGATACCTTGATGATCCTGCGCGGTAAATTGCTGTTGGCCATCGGATCGAAATTGCGAAGCTGTTTTCTTCCCCTTCACTCTTCTTCTTCTCGGAGATTTTACGCAGACAAAAAAAGGGTTTTACTTTTTAGTTTTTTCTCTCAGAAGAAAATGGAAAATGGTCCAGTCGAGGGCTTAAAAGGAGATTTGGTGGCACTTTTCATCCTAAATCCTAATAAAGGTATAAATTATTGGGTAAGTGATATTAAAACGATAAACTAACAGCGCATTTGTCGAGCTGTCATGTGTAAATTATCATATGATATAAATTCTTCTATTCTTAGGCTTAGCAGCCGCGTCAGTTCCTACTTATGATTTTGTATGCATGATGATAAAGAAAGATCGCGGTTCGGTTTTACTCAAGACCAATTATATGTTGTTGTTCGTGTGTACGTAATAGAAATGGATTAAACATACTAGTGTGGGACGACGAGTTGCAAATTAATCAAATTAATAATGTTGTGTACAAAAAGACTTTTTATAATATATTATTTTTCAGGGAAAACATTTTTATGATTTGACAATTTTCCTATGTATTATCACTCTTTTATTTATTAATATAATTTAATTTATAATATACCTTAAAATAAATACAGTCCGTGCATCGTACGAGTTACGTAGTAGTATATATAATAAGAATAATTATTTACTAAAAATATTAATAAAAAATTTTGGAAGCATTTAGTGCATACATTTTTTGGAAACTTTTTCATTGATATTCATTATAATAAATTACATGATTTATTTTCAGTGATTCATGTTGATAATATTTTGGTCAAAGTAAATATTACAACATATTTTAAGTTTTAACCATAATATTAATTTTTTTTCACAAATATTCATTTTTATCCAAAAATATTTATAGAAAATAGTTTTACTAATAGTAAAAAATTAATTGAATTATATTAACCATTTTTTAGAATTTATTTGTATACTATTGGCAATCATTATTATTTTCTTTTCATTATTTTTTTATTTTAATTTTTTTTATAAATGAAATTTTTGTAAACTATATTTTCATTGTACACTAACTATTTTGTTGAATATGTGGTGTGTGATAAACTATCTGTAAGGTGTTATTTTGTCCATTTGTGAAGTTGAACAATATTGTAGGTATATTAGCATATATTGGAGTAAAGTTGGTAATTTTGTTTTGTTATTTGTTTTTTTTTTTGGTATTTTGTCCAATATAAATTAACTAGAGTCTATTTATAGCGGGTCTTCGTTAACCTGTTGTACACAACAGTATGTTTATAACGGGTCTTTAGTTGAAATGATATATAATGTAGATAATTAAAGTAAGAAGAAAGAAAGTTACTCCACCCTTGAGCAGATAGTTACACACATCAACAAGAGAAACCAGTCATTTATTCAGAAGCAAAAAACAAAATAAAAAAAATAAAAATGTATTAGATAATTAGTAAATATGTCATTTCAAATTAGAGAGAAAAAATTGAAACGAACAAAAGAAATTATTATATTTATTGCGATCCAACTACAACGCCCATGTTGAAGAGGACGGGCCCACACTGAGGGAGGGCAGTCTTGGTCTGGAATCCAATGGCATTGGCGAACCTGAAGCCCGAGTGCATGCCGTCGTTGGACGCCAACACCACCCTCGACTTATCGCCCAACGGCTCGTTGCAATCGTCGCTTGGGCTCTTGATCACCGATACCTCACAGATCTCGTCACCATGGTCCCCGACGACCGGGAGGCTGTAGTGTCCATTGGGGCCGGTCACCCCATCCAACGAGTAGGTCACGGCTTTGGTGTCTGCGTGCCTGCATTCTAGGCGCACGTTGGCACCTGCATGACAAATGCAATTAGTTTGTGCGTTTTATGTAATAAAAAAATGCATATTGTCAAAATATCACTTGTACGTTGTCTCACGTTAATTCTATAAGGAAAATGAGTTTAGTTTATAAGTCTAATGAACTATTCCTATCATTAATTTATTTCGAGATGAAATTTCACTAAGAGCACTTACACCCACCACTTATGGTGCGCTTCACTTTTATGGGACTGCATTCTTTTCCTGAATCTATAAATCCAATATATATTTTTAAAAATGAGTATTGTTGGACGTACATAATTTGTGTTTAGATATAACCTCACATCAAATGGTATTGTTGGACATAATTTGTGTTTAGATATAACCTCCCAACATGTAAAGCATATGCACACGTCAAATTATGTTATAAATAGTAATGCTCAAAAAATATGAAGCTTATTTGTTGTTGAAGATTTCGGAATAAAATTAATTATTGAATTATTACCGACGAGCCTTCGGGCGAGCTCGGTCTCGAATTGGACACGGCACGGGTCACAGTAGACGTCACCCTCGACATTGAAGTCGTGGTGGGCGTTGGCGAAGGTGGCAATGGCCAGGATGCAGAGGGCGGATGCGAGAGCTACAGCCTTGGCCATTGTTTATTATTTTGCTTTCTTGTTTTTATTCTTTTCTTTTCTTTTCTTGTTTCCCTCTTAATTTCTTCTCTTGTGTGTGATATGAGATGTGCGTGTGGCTATTTATAGGGGGGGAAAAGATGGATATGAGGGAACGATTATTTTGCAATAGTTTAGTGGCAATCCTTTGATTTGGAATACGTACGTTTGTTCTCACAAAAATGAATGGCCATTAATTTATTTATTTTTTCTTTTTGATTATTATTTTAAATTTGGGCATTGTATAATATGGGAATGAGTTGAATTTATGGTTGTCATTGCTCCTCCAATATTTATATTTGGCAAAAGGTTTGTGTTACGTAACATAACATGTAATTGTTTTTTTCGGTACAAAAAAGGAGGTCAGGGGTCTAAGAAGAGTATGAGGCTAGAACTCATCGGGGATAAGACACCTCGATAAGGTCATGGTCTAGTCGTGCTCCCAATCCTATAGGAGGTGAAACCATACAATGCATCCCAATAGTAGATGAAGACGCCAAGCTCGCCCGTAACATGTTATTGTTAAGTGATCTTTTGAAAATCATCACAGCTTTAAGTTGAACCGTTCATCTCCTTGTGACCAATAAAAATAAGTAAGAAGATTTATTCATATTACATTGATAAAGGTGTTTTCAAGCACTATTTAATTCTTGTTAATGTAGTGTGTAGAACTCTAAAATAGTGATGTTCATTTAGCTAGCACATTTGACATGACCAGACAGACTCATTAAAAAAAAAAAAAGGAAGCAAATGGTCTACTAAAGTGGATTATCTCTTGTGGAAAGTCCGTTTAAACCCGGATAGAAAGAATAGCATCTAATAAAAGTCATGAAACCGGTAATCACAAGTACAGAAGTTACACAAAATCTACAAGAAAACATAGTTAGAACGCTAACTTCATGTTTTGCAAAACTGAGTCAGGGATGAGAGCAGCCTATCTCAGTGATTAGCATCTAAACTGCGAGTTCAGTGCGGCATTTAAGCATCTAAACAGTGAGTTCCGTGTGGCATTCATTGATGACAACAAAAAAAAAAAGGTGAGAGTTCCCACTAATTTCAGACTGCAATTGTTGCTACATACGAGTCTCTATCGCAAGTCAGGATCATGATTTGGGAACTTTCTTGAGTAGTTTGTACAAGCCGAATACATTCTTTTGCTGCCAGAGGTACGGAATAAAGAATGACCGGAACATGGGTGGTGACAACTCTCGATCTAGATAAGGTAATGCTGCCACGGCCTGTTCATAATAACCAAGAAGATTGTCAGTGTGAGTCCCTGCGTGCCCGCACTTGTGTGTGCATGTGAGAGATAGAGATCACATTTACGTTTGTTACACACACACACACACACAGAGAGAGAGAGAGAGAGAGAGAGAGAGAGA